CCCTAAACCCTAAACCCTCAGTTTCGGATGTTTTGTAGTGGCTTCGGGAACCCTACCGTCCAAAAGACTGGAGGCCTGAAGGCTCCACAACCCACACGTTCGGTTTAGGGTTCAGGGTTTAGGATTTAGGTTCAGGGTTTAGGGTTTAGTTTTTTTTAGGGTTCAGGGTTTAGGATTTAGGTTTAGGGTTCAGGGTTTAGTTTTTGTTAGGGTTCAGGGTTTAGGGTTCCGGGGTTAGGTTTTAGATTTAGGGTTTAGGGTCTAGAGGGAGATCAAGAGCTTTCAATGGAAAGGCATTCCAGCAGCGAATGCGACAGATGGACGGCGAGGCTCGATCATGACACTTAGAGCTTGAGAATTCAACTACACGGTCTTAGCGAAAAGTCTTCGGGCTTCGGGTGCATGGATCACAGCAAATCTTGCTGCCTCCACGGAAAATCCGAAAAACAGGAGTCGAAGGTACACCCCCAAAATGTGATCCTTAACAGAAGGACTCTCGCGGGAACCCTGATGTTAGGAAAACCCTATAACACCACAGTGAATCAAGGAGGAGCCAAGCCCCAATAGTTTTCAAAATTAGGGTCCCCATTTAGGGTCCTTTGTATAAGGGTTCCGTACTCTTTTCGGGACCTCAAAAGGGACCCTAATTTAGAGAACTACCCACGTCGAACACCCGAAGTTACTAATCCCAAGAACCCAAGAGAGAAGACCACGTGCCACATGAGTGTCAAAAACGAAGCATACTATTCTTATAAATAGTATTAGTAGTATTTGTATTATTAGTATTATTCGCATTGTTAGTATTAGTAGTTTTGTTCTTACGAGTATTAGTCTTAGTTTTTTAAATATTAGTCTTGGGGGCCCGCTATACTCCAATTACCAGAAAGAGCCACCAAAATAGTCCTCGTAATTATTTAGACCCCTATACTGTAGAGCCCTTATAGTGACCCTTATAGTATCCCTTATAGTATCACTTTTAAGAAACCCCTAATGTAGGCCCCGAGATTAGAGACACCCCGCGCCCTTCCGGTGCCTTCTGCTGGGCGATGACCTTCAACCTCTCCGCGCAGGCGAGAATATTGGACCCAAAGCCCTCTAGACCTTAAGGGTTTAGGGTTTAGGGTTTAGGGGGGTTTAGGGTTTAGAGTTTAGGGATTAGGGGTCTAGGGCTAGGGTTTAGGGGGGTTTAAGGTTAGGGTTTAGGGTTTAGGCCAGAGGGCTCACAGACCCAGCAGTTCGGGAGGGGGGCACGGCCCCCACTTTGGGGCAGCACTTGCCAGCCTAGCCCTACTGCAAGCAGTAAAACCAAAAACCTTTCAACCCCTGACCCTAAACCCTAAACCCTAAACACCCCTGACCTCTAAACCCGAGACCACCATCCCACAACCTAAGCTCGTAAGTTTAACCCCTCTCCCCAACCCAGACGCTTAGGGGCCCTCACATCTCGGAATAAAACTCAAAGAGGGCCCTTCGAAAGGTAGGGGTTTAGGGTTTAGGGTCGAAGTTTTGAGGCTTCGGGATTAAGCACGAATTGTAAGTCTTAGCAGCCATAAAGCCTTGACCCTGGACGCCTGCCAGTCTTCCCGTAACTTCCCTTAAGGCCGTCATACAGAAGCAAACCCTAAACCCTAACCGTAAGCCCTGGGTCTATTTTAAAAGGCTTCTGGTGGGTTTCTTGTGGCTTAATCGAGGACTCGGGATGATTGGTAATTAATGGTAATTACGTACTCTTACAGTCCCTGTGTAACTGTACGAAACTGGGAAACCCTACACCCTAAACCCGAAACCCTACTCACTAAACTTAACCCCCTTACAATCCCTGGGGGCCCAGCCACTTCTGCTTCCGGAAGTAGATTTTCCACCATCGCTGGATTCGCTCCTGGCTAAGGGCTGCGGTAGTTTGGGGTCTTGTTTTACAGTTAAGGGTTTAGGTTTGGGGTTCAGGGGTTTGGGGTCTGGGGGGGTGTAGGTTTAGGGTTTGGTCCTACAAGATCAGCGACTGTAAAGTGCATTGTAGCTGGTGCACGAGGAAGGTTCTGACGAAGGGATGGTATTGCTAAGCACCGAGGGTCGTCTGGTACTGGAAATCTGCAAAGCGTAAAGCCCTGCCGGTAGTGTCGTATGCCTGTCCGAGTAAATACCCTTTCTGAAGCACCCTGAACCGCCAAGACTTGCCAGAACCTGACCAAAGGCTGCGGGCTTGGAGTTTGGTGGAGGAGAGTCTGTGGATGTCGGGGTTATGTCCCAGCGTTTACTCGTGGAACTTCGGATCGTCGGACCTCGGACTTCGTGCGGGCTTCGTGGAAATGGCATGGGTTTAGGGTTTAGGGTTTAGGGGGTTCCTGGAGCCAAGTGCCGTGTGTGATTCCTTCTTAGGATTTGGACGAGAGCTGGGGGATTCGGGCGCAGGATAATGCCCTGAAAGCGACGGTGCTCATGACGACGGGGATGATGATGGCGATGGCGATGGCGATGGCGCTGGCGATGGCGAAGGCGATGGCGATGACGATGATGATGATGATGATGATGATGAGGAGTATGAGTGTGATGCTGATGATGATGATGA